TAAAACTTCGAACACGGGTACAAGCTGCTGAAATGAGCTTTTTTAGACGAGTCGCTGGGTTCAAGAATCTTGACATGGGCCAAAGTACACATAACCAATACCAGATCGTTTGAGTACAGCTGCTGATTCTCTAGCTTGAAAGACATAGAGGTGGTGGTTTCGGCCAGTATGGCAAATTCCTCCAGATTGGAAGGAGAAGCAGCTACTATTTGTCCAATCGAGCAGCGGAAAAGCAACCTGGGCAAAGCAAGTGTGTTGTATGACTCTGCCCTAGACTCCGGTTCGAAAACTTTGCAACTGCAGTTTGGAGCGTCGGCCTCCGCTGTTCGAAACGACAAGCGGTGATGGCTATTGAATGACCTAAATTCAAAACGTTTGCTAAATAAATGTATGGTAGAATGAAAGGTTGGAACAGCAGAATAAAGTTAAATATCATGGAAAAATTATCGGCTGGGCTCCATATATAAATATAGTTAGAGAGTTATCTTCACAGTAAAATCACGAAACTTGTGTAAACTTAGAAATTGGCGATTGTGACAAATCAAATCGTGCTCACAGAGAGGGTTCGAGTGATGTGCAATGTAAAGGATGAAATTAAGCAGCTGACTAGCTGCCAATTACGTTAAACTCACACCTTCACTTAAACAGCATAAAATTAAAGTATAAAATAAAAATATTTGGTTCGACAACAGCGCCATGCTATATTCACAGACAGCATTTAACGAATAATTAACATGAGGGCAGAAATCAAGTGACTGATAAAAATAAACATTTGCCAAAGGTACAGATTCAAACTAGCAGCCAAAGTCTGACTCCAAAAACCTCACGATCATCACAATGAAATTGTAATCGCCAATTCGCGTGTGAAAACGACATCGTATTTCATTCACACATAGCTGTTCATTGATATATTAGAGGTTAATAATATATCAGAGGTCAATTTTAAATAATTGATGAAGATGACCGCCATCCAGTTATAAAGATTTGCATGAGTGACCGCAGCACGGAGGGCAATTAGCCGTGTTAACCAAAACCTCATAGGCAGACAAAGACACCGATGGCATTTACTGAATCTCTGTCGAACCCAACATTCCAAACTTAAACACGTTCTGGGGCACTGGATGGAAAACAATCGATGGTATGAACATTAAACCGCATAAAGTGCCTGATTCCCTGAATTAAGGACGAACAACAATATGAAGACAAGCGAAGCTTTCAGCAAGACGGTGCATCCTGTTGGAAAAGAAAATGAACTGGTCGAATGATATTCTCTGACGATTCTCGACGGTGCTCATAAAATAATAGCACTTCTAGAAAGGTTGACATGACCATTTAGCAAGTGTAAAACTGACAGGCTGTGACAAGTGTAAAACTGAAAGGCTGACATGACCATTTAGCAAGTGCAAGAAAGGCTGACCATTTAGCAAGTGTAAAACATGAAGTATGAATACATGAAGCAAAACATCTCCTTGAAAGAGAGAAGTAAATGAATAAAACTGCGCCATGGTTCTTCATGCTGCTTAGAGTACTTTCCATGTTAAAGATAAAAATTGTACAATTCAGCAAGACTGTGAAATATCTTGTATCCTCTTGAATGAGAGAATGAATTAGTCGAATGACGTTCTCTCATTTTTGTCGATTTCAAGGTCATCAAGATGTCATATGCTCATATCCTGAGTTTTATGTTTTGTCTGGCTGCAGTTAATCTAATTTGGTTGTTGCGACTTCAACAAAATCCTGGAGTTACAGTAAAAATTGATTTTCAAGTGGCAAATTATCGAAGAATGTGAGTTTTTCTGCACAAGTTGAGTACTAAAGATAAAGCTTTATTTAAAGAACGAAGCAAACAAAAGCAAAAAACGCTGATCCAGCTTAAAAACAAAAATCGTTGCCGTTCGTCATCGACTGCCATTCGATCAGTGGGGACCTCTAAGAGTAATCCCTGGAAAATTCACGGGATAAGATCCTCTCGTTGACCGGTCTTAACTGTATTTCGCGTATAGTTGCAGACGCCATCGCAGCCAACAAAATTTCCGGAGATGATACAAAAGCGTAATTCTTATTTGCATGACCTTCGCACAACGCCTTCACCTTCTGCTGTAAATTCTCGTCAGTGGTGACCCAGACCGTGTAGACGTTTTCCGACTTTATCAGCAGACATTCATTCAGCATGGG